AAGAGAGAAAGTGTTATGAACCCACCGTCAGCTTCAAGTGAGAGATATGGGTGCACTCGAGCATTGCCCCGCGACGTCTGACTCTTCGGGGCACGCCCGCTACTTGAGCTGGCCTCTCCTTCCGTCACCTCTATTCGTCTTACACGTGTACGGCTGGCCTTCCCCTTCTTCGCATCGAGCTCTGCCTTCAACGCCTTCTCACGTTCAGACTCCAACCTTCTACTTGCCTTTGCTTGCTCGTACTGGTCTGTGAGTGCAGCGACCTCTCGAGATTCACCCGCAGCTGCCATAGCTTTCCGAGCGGTGTTCTGGTTACGTGTGATACGCTTACCCATACGATCACTGTACTCATTGTGTTTGTTCTTGAATACACCACCATGTTGACGAACCGCTGCAAGCTCAGCAGCAACCTGGCTGTCGACCTTTTGCGCTCTAAACGACAGAATGAATCAGGATTAGCAGAGGACAAAGGTAGTGAGGAAGGCGACGAAGGTGATAGAGAATACAGACGACATGATAGCCTCCAATAGTGACATCCCTGTCCCCGTCTGCTGATTCGTCCAAGCATGCTGTGATTCATTGCCGTTAGTTGTATTGGGTGTGCTATCCCATGCATTCAGAGCGATCTTCGTCCGGGACCGCATAGCGCAAGGGAGAATCCACGAGTTGTCGGTCTTATGCTTGAACCAATCTGCTCGAACACAAGATCATGATGAAAAGGTGTTCAAAAAATCAGGGGGTCGTCAGCGATAAAGAGACAGTGGATATGACGGACAGGGACTTGGAATAGGCATACCACGGAGTTTTTGAGAGCTATGATTAATACAGAATAATTTATACCTCTCGAAGTCATCGTCTGTCTCGATTGAAGGTAGATTAGAGACATATGTGTAGTCCTCTTTGGAGAGATTGTGCCGGAGGCTCATGATACCGCTAAGTTTAGCCATCCGAACCACCACAGAAGTTAATATTGTTCAGAAAGTTGGGAACGATACAAAGCATACCGTTTAAAGTGGGTGAGACATATCTTGATGAAATACTGGATGAGTATCTTCGGATCGTCTGTATTTACACCGCTATGGGCTGGATCGTTCAGAGGAAGAAAGGCGTCACCACACCCGAGGGCCTGAGCGATCTCCATGTCACATCCAATACTCAATAACTTCCCATCAGGCATCAAAGCTTTTGGACCAAAACGGCGACCAGTGAGCTTAACCACGACATTCTGGATTTCCTCCCATATGCGCTTGTAGGCTGCACGCGTAGCATGATCACAATAAATGCGGCCCACAGTAA